ACTCTTTCTTTTAATGTCTTATTCCTCGTTTAATATAATAACTCCGTAATTATACCTTCCTCGGTTATATTATACACTTTAAAGATTTAATAAACTCCTTTTAAGTAAAAGGTAGCTTCCCGCCCGTCGAATCGTAGATTAAGGTATTAAGTAACGTCCGGGAAAATATATTATATACCTTTAAACTACTTTATCGTATAAGGTGTAGTCATTGCCGTTTACTAAGTAAGTTAATTAACGTCTTCTCGAGTTTTAACCGGAGTAAGATCTCTTAATAATATCGTAATGTTTAATATAATACCTTCCTTCTTCCCGATATACCCCTTTATCCCTTTATACTTAAGTATATCTTAATCATTATTTTAACATAATTAACAACGTAGTTTAAGCCTTTCTAAAGCTTCGTCTTATTATAATGTATTATCGTTACTCGCCCTTTAATACCGCCCATTCTTAAACTTAACATTTATTAGTCGAGCTTTAAGACTCTCTAATAACCACTTAATCATTCGAGCCGTACACGTTACGCTCTTAATTAGCTCCATTATAATCTCGCTAACACTTAAGATAAGGGATTCCAAAGTGTATAAAGACCTTCTTTTTAAAGTGTTAACCTTTATTCGTTAAGCTATACTCTAAGCGGTATATTTAAGTCCGTATAAGCTTACCCCTTATAAGGTTATATTAGGTTCGTATTATAATAGTCCCTTTTTCTTAGTTTATTATATAAGTTGTCGCTTCTTACCCATGTTTGGTAAGTTTTGTATAAGGTCTAACCTTATTGTTATCTTCGTACTTATCGTGCTTTTAAAGTCTTCGTTAATTTTATAACTTCTTAATCACGATGTTCTTAATGCTTCTTAACCTTAACTAAATCTGTTTTCCATGTTATATATGTTCGACTCTTCGTATATAAGTGTTAAACTGTTAATTTAAAGGCTTTAAGTTCGACCCTTAATAAGGCAGTTAATTAAACTAAGACCATTGTCTTGTCCCTTAAGTTATAAGCCTTACGACGAACTCGCTAATTTACTCGCGGACTAATTACTTATAAATGAATGGAAAGAATGAACTTAATAACTAAAATAATGTTAATTAGTAACAACGAGCCATTCTCGTCGTCTTCCGAATGCACTGTTATATAAACTAACTATGCTACCGAAATTAAAAGTGTGAAAAAGCATGCCCTTTTTAACTATTTATAAGTTCTATCCCTTCGACCTTATATTAATCAGACCCCGGACAACTACGACAAAGGTCGTACGACCCACTTAGCTCCCTTATAATATTAGTATAGCTAACACTCACTACTTCACTATATATTTCTAGCGAGGAACATTTATATTTCTACCCTAACTTTTCTTATTAGAATATCTCTATAGTTATAAGTTTAATCCGGAATTTAACAACTAATTTAAGGTTATAATAGTTAAATTATTTATTCATTAAAATTATAGCTTGTTACGATAATAAGAACATTGGTTTCCTAATAAATCCGTATACTTATCCTTTGAAAATCCGTATACCCCTAGTTAATCCTTAGCGCTAGTTTTCTATCACTAAATTTAAATCCGCAAAGGGTATACGGCGCAATGCATACTTATAAGGACGACAATAAAGTGTCACTATTGAAACCGTTCTTGGTCCCGGGTGTTAATATCGATAACTCGTCGGCCGATATAACATAAGTGGAGAGGTGTAAGTGAGGAGATGAGGCTTAAAGCAATCCTACAATGTCGAGTCTTTGTATATGGTTATAACTCACAAGCGGAACAACCGCCACGCGTTCTGTTGTAGTTGTCGAAACGTAGTTATCTATATACATGATGATATAACACCAGTTCCGCTCTTAAGCATGACACCAAAGGTATTCTCGGAGCAAGCAAAACACAAGCATAATTCGGGCTTTAGCTTAGGATCTCACAGAAATAGCTAGATGCACAGGCACGATTAATAGCAATCGTCCCAAGAAGACGAACTTAGGGGTAATAAGTCGAATCGTATCCGCAATCTGAAACCCACCAGTGAGACACACACCGCAAGCATCAGAGTTCTCGTCTGAATCTGGACAGGTGATCGTGTTTTCCGTGTATTTTCCCCGCTAACACCAAGCCTAGCTAAATATATTACGACATTTATCATCTCACCACAGGTAATTGGTTTATCACTCGCTGCAATGATTGTCTACAGACGACATGACTCCAAACTAACTTGTATTCAACTTGTCAGGTCACTATAAGTATCAACCATGCCTAAAATTCTTCAACTTCTGACTATATAACTACCCCTGTTCCCTTGCCCGTCCAATTAAGACAGCGATGTTGGCTTTTGTGCAAGGTGGTCGCCTCCTCACCTCCTTCCAAAGTAACCCGAGTGAGATCCGCAACCTAGCAGCTGTGGGCTGACGATGACAGGGCATTTGCACAGAAGTTCAAGCCAGATGTATATCGCATATAACCAAAAGCAGCGTTGGTTCCGCCATATTTGTATGAGCCGGCAATATACAATCCGCAAGCGCTGGTTATGTCGGCGGCCATGTACGTGATGTCGGAACCACTGATGAACATGGTACCGACACCAGTGTATTCGCAGGCAAAGGCCACGACAGAGCCGCGAATCGAGTAATATGACGTGGCCGGCGCGACTGTAGACGTCAAATGGTTAGCACAAGTCTTCTTCACACCTGTAATAAAAGGGAGGAAAAAAGAAAAGCTTACTATGCACACCACTGCCAACTTGGGTCTTGAGGTCCGCAACAGCCGCGTCACAGTAACTATGGTCCATGCCATAGCCACACCCGCAGTATATCACCGGGTCACGCTTGCTAAGCAGGGGCGACGCCGGAGTGAAATTGATTGACACAACGGGCTCAGGTGATTGATTGATGGGGTCAGACAGTTTCTCGTGTACCTCATTCCCTTGACTATCGAGATAAGTACGGTAGACACCATCTTTGAGACCACCAGGGAGGACGGCAGCGACGGCTGAGCCAGCCAACAGGGAAAAGAGCGTGTGAATGGGTAACATGGTGTTAGCGGTAGCTCTTTCAACAAGCTGATATGAGAGTTCGGATGTTCTGATGGGGAAAAAAGAGAAGGAAGGGCGGAGGATTGAGACCAATTTATATCGAAGCTGTCTTGCAGTGTAACAAATGGCTGAAGGAGTCCTTGGCAATATTGTTACGGGTGTGAGAAATTCGTCCACCTAATATGAGTCTGCATGAGGCATGGTATCCAAGGCGGCTCCACTTTTATTTCGGTGATTATTTCATTAGAAAATCTATTTAGGTTCAGTTGAATGATCTGATAAATGATCTGATGTCCGATATATTGAACTTAAGAGAAAAAGGTTATTTGTACTTACCTGACAAGCTGCAAGGGACCACCCGCCCATAATTTGATTAGCCAGTAAGGAATGAACGGCCTCGGCACTACGCTGAACACAGGCGTATACTCCGTGTGTGCCTGGTGAACCCTTGAAAGGTCCCTCGAATGCACATTATTAGCCTCCATTATCATTGTTCTTCTTTCATAAAACCACTGCAGCCCAAAGCATAACAGAGACACCGGTCTGATATGCCTCGGTGCTTACTTGGTATCTATGGGTGGTCTTGTTACCAAGTTACACCGCTTTGAGCTCTATCCCGACGAGGTGGATGGAAGGGATGGAATTCATTACCATGAAAACATAAGTTTATACTTATGCTTACATGTTATTACTGTGGAGTTGGATCTAAACTTTCTCTCCACTTCCTGGCTGTCCCATGCTCCTACCGAGAGTTGATTACTTCGAAAGCAAGGTTTGAATTTGCACTGTGCTGTTCGCTAAGCTTTGTGATGCCTGACCTAATCCGAAGAGAAGTTGACTAGGTCCGCAAAGCCAGCCACTCAATTGGCTCAGGGAGCCAACAAACTGGGATTACTGTTGGTGATCTGATACTAAGACTCACCTGTTTAGCGTATCGTGCACAGTCAATTATTATTCTTTAGCGAACGTCTAGCCATGGGCCCATGCTGGGCTCCACAAAGTACCGTGCAGGAACGGGATCAACCAATAAAAGCCAGCTGGTTACAATGAGCTCACGGATTGGTGACAATGATAGAAACTAAAGCAAGCCTGGTGAATGAAGATTATGAGTTGAGACAGTTCCAGCTCAAAGATCGTTCTTGAAAAGACATACTTCTTGATCAAACTAGACTCACGACGTATGAGGCAAATGAATCACTCAGGCAAGAGGTGCATAAGTTGTCTAAAATATGGATGCCAATCCATGAACTGTTATCGGAGATCAATGATAGTATCAATTATCTCAATAAATACTAGAGGAGAGAGAGATGCGTATGTATCAAGAGCGAAAAAAGTGCGTAGCTAATTTTGCTCCGCTATGAGTTTGTTTATCTTCTTATGTTTTTTACCTTACTTTTGTGGAGCTTACGATCTCATTCAACCGAATCATTTCATTGATTAGAATATATTGCCAGGACACATATGTAGTGCAGCAATACGGTAAATGCTTCTTGTTGATTAAAATCCGTCCACTGCCAGCGAAGCCCTTCGACTACCATGAAACAAAATGGTTGAAGCTCTTTTTTCTTTTTTTTTCTTTTAGAGAACTTTGAAAGTGCCACCCAACTCCCTCAGGAATTTGGAATATACCAAAAAGAATAAAGACCGATGTCCAGCCCGGCAGGAAAGAGCTTAGTCCCTGATAGACCGATGTCCAGTAGCAACGGCCGAAACAATGCCTCCTTCCTCTCGATGCTGTCGAAACTAGACGTGCTGGGAAGTTGTCATGGACGAAAGCAGAATCTGGAACACCGAATTCCAGATATGACACCGCCATCGATTGGGCTCAATGCTGATACTGCTTGCCGTTGTTGAATTGAAAGCTGGTCCAAAATTACCATCAATGGCCCTCGGAAACGATGTCGACCAACCTCCAGAAGCCGGCTGTACAGAAAGTGGGCATATACCCACTGGCCTAGTCACGTGATCACCACTTCATATGCTCTGCGCCCCCACAACAACATTCTGTCGAAGCAAACGGACGAAATGGACGGAATGAACCAAGCGAATAAAGGCGAATGCAGTCACAACGACCTCTTATTGCTCAGCATTTCTCACGGAGCACAAATGTCACGACCGTTGCGATCGTTCGGGGGGCTGGACAGGCCTGGTTTTGAGTCGTGCTTTCGTCGGTAGCCACTTTTGGGCAGTCCCATTTTCGACAGGGAGTACAGAAGAGGAGCGCATCGGTCGGCTTGTTGTGGGGGGAAAAACGGTTAGGTCCCTCGCCTAGTGGAGTTCTTTCGACAGATGGACAACTTGTTTTTGTAGCCGATTGTTTCTTGGACGACTGCTGTCGCGAAAGCTTCTAGCTGTTCTATGTAGGATTGACAGCCTTTCATGACGGCGTAAGAGGTTTCTGTATGGACGGCAGGAAGACCTTGGTTGGCGACGACATTCTCAGCGTGATTCATTTCTGAAGTCTTAGAGTAAGTCAATGTTTAGAGGCAAGCCACACCTGGAGGATGATGTGTTCCAAGGTTAAGAACCGTGTGAACTGGCGCAATTGACGAATATATGTTCCAGAGCAGCCGACAACATCGACTGATTGAATTTCTGTTGACCAAATGGCAGAACGATCAGTACGAAGCAGAATGACTCTTCTCACAAATATCCACCAGGCCATCCATGTCAGAATAATACCTGAAGTGTATTTCTGGTCTCCGTACAGTCTACAAACGGTCACAAGAATTGCTTGCACGCCAGTTGACGAGACTGGGGCCACCGAAGCTGCTTCGGGACTTTCTCCATCACAAAGAACTAGTGCGAAATGGTGCCCCATGAACACATCTGAAAGCATGCAAGATTCGTCGCAGCGATGATGTGACATCCAGATTCTGACTAACCCATCCAGCTCTGAGACCTTGATTAAGCGCACCCAAGAGCTGCGTGCGGCATACTCTCCAGTTGTTCCCAATCGGATATTGCGATCACATTTCGTACTCACAAATGGAGGAGCTTAGGCCACCAACAGCAAATCCATCAGTCCAGCTAGCACCTGATGATTACAAAAACTACGAGAAATGGAACCACGCACCATGTCATCAAACGGTGCTCAATTGAAACGCTCCAAGTCGGGCAAGGTTCATGTCGAAAGGATATGTCTATGTCTTTTATTCAAACTGCATGTGGAGGGCTGTCAATGGCGACAATTGCGTTTCGACGTTTGACCCCGCATCGACGGCGGCGATTCGTGGTGCTAAAAAGCTGGAAGACCTGGCCTACAGCAGCATAGCTAGATGAGTATCCATCTGTGTGTGACGGGGTGTATGCACAGAATGGCCAACCAAACCGAAGCAGAAGGTACAGACGCATCGGAAATTAGCGTAACAGGTGGCCCAAATAATGCAGCCAATCCACATACGAACATATTAATCCCAAGCCTTGCCCCAATATACCGTAGTACAGATATGTTGGTCGATAATGTCGAGACTGTCTTGCACCGCACCGACCCCTTTCTGGTTGTCTATAATAGCGCCTAGTACCTGTTGCGTGGCTGATTGAACTGTGTTGATAGCAACCGAGTAAGCGGCGCCATTCGCTTCCTCTCTTGGGTTGCAGATATTGCTTAGAGAGGTGAGCTGGATCGTCTCATCAGTTTCGAAGAAGAGCCCCGAGCTGACAGCCTCCTGAAAGGTGTTGGAAGTTTCGTTTAGGCCGTTGTTATCGATGACATCATTTACCTGGGTTACCTCGATAACATAGTTGTTAATTGCTACAACAACCTGGTTAGCGGTAGCACAGGAACGTTTTCGCTGCCCAACGCTTTGGAAGGTAGACGGCATAGATGCTGCAGTCGAAAGCATGCAAATGGCTCCACCAAGCAGCTTCATCGTGGCTCAATATTGTGGATAGAAGATTGTTCGGATATTTTGATGTTCTTGATCATGATATATCGCACTATGTGACTGCTATCGAACAAGAAAACATCACGATGTCATAGAATGAAATGGAAACCGGTGGCATTACATTTTCGATTATAATAACACCGAGACAATCTCGGTGTTATGAACTATTCTCTCTTTTCTCCTTCGTCTCTTATGTTATACCCATTAAGTAGTACATAGGATAGTAACGTCAGTGTCATTTCGCCAAGCCAACGTCTTCGCCCTGACACCTTGGATTTACCAGGCGATGATTTGTCGGAAGGATTAATCATATTTCACGTTACTCTTTTCCCGTGGGTCGCGGTGTCGGCCGTGCTACAGCCTTCAGCGACCTGGGCGGCTCTTATCGGTTTCAATAGCCATATACTATAGATTGTATACCCAACAATAGCTATAAGTAAGCAGAAGCTCGTTGCACTTAGGGAAGCTACGGCGATAGCCGACCATATACCATCCTGTACAGCGTATACGTTTAGCAAAGTCGTGCTAAAGCCAAGTAATGAGTTTGTGAGGAGTGGCCTAGACCTTCAGTCGTTAGAAAGGTTACTATCTAACCTCAAAAAGAACCTCTGATGGACTTGCGTGATAATATTGTTCAGACTCTAGATATAATTGCACTTCCAGACCCACCATATATACATTAACCCTAGCAGAGAAACAATAAACAAGAATGAAACAAGAACGAGTAAAGGAGGATATTGAAATGCCTTCAGTGCAAGCTCATTGTCTTCCATCATGGTGTTAAAAGCTTCGGAGCGATTCATAGTCGTAAATGTGGAAGGGAGAACGATGTAGCCTGCCAACAAAGTCTAGTTAAGCACCTTGGGTAAGATGGCGTAATACCAATCCACAGATTGGTCATTCTCGATCAGCATCTTGATGTACAAATCACGCCTTTGTCTAGGTGGCAAAGTAGCAACATGTGCAAAGCTTTTTATACTGTCCGCCATTAGGTTCAATAAGTCAAGACAAATTGAGAAGTAGCAGGTAAGGAAAGACCTCGTGAAGTGTGCGGCAAAGTTACAGTAGGGTGTCTTCAGTTCTTCAAATACTTCATCACTAGGGCTGGTATCCCACGAGCCGGTTTCCGCTCTCTAACACTGCGAATATTTGTTCACAAAGGCCAGAACCAAATCTTGAGCCTATATTGGAGCTGTGGAATCGCTTCTCCATTCATTTCTTTCCGTACAGTTTGGGCGACAAATAGATCTATTTAGCGCTATCGTACGAAGGAGAAGAAGGATTCTTCCCCTCGTACGTGGTCTATAGATAGGGGTTCACCCGCACGGCTGCTAGCTGCCGACAGCCACATCGTGGCTGTGGTGGCTTACTACTAGCACGCCGGTGACTACCTATACTACGTAGTCAACCGTCGTACGAGACCGCGAATAGTATATTCTAACATTTTCGTTATTAGGTATAATAATATTAACGGCTATTTTATAACGTAATAAAAAGGCTTTTATTACTCTGGTTTTCTTATCTTTAGTAATTTATTATTAAACTACGCCTTTATTATTAAGGGAGGCATTCTTAGCTTCTTCTTAGTTTATGTAATCTTATATAATAAATCTATTATTATTAGTAAAGTAGTTAATAACTTTAACCTTTTTAAAGTGTAATAATTACGGTAAAGTTACTAGGTGATAAGTTCCTTCGGGTAGTAGTTATATTTAAAGACTTATTCTTAAGGAGCAGAGGATAGAATGTCTCCATCGCTAGTTACGAAGCGGGGGTTTTACACTGACTACGCACGGACGTACTCCGTGCGTTGCTTAAGCGCTAGGCTGGCACCTAAGCTAGGTCGTTATAACGATAAAGGTTCGTTTGTTAAATTCTGGCGTATAAGTAATAATGCTTAGGCTTTTTGAATTTCCGTAATAGTTAAATAACTCTCGTTATTTATGAAAAAGTGATGCCGGACGGACTTTGAACAATGCGAACTCTTTTTTTGAATGACATGGATCGAGCTTGGGATGATATGTACCTCTATCCTTTCGGTTCGGCGAGGGGGGTTATCACGTAGGAGACTTTGTCGTCTTGGTTCCGATGACCGGGCGTCGTGTCCTAAGTCAATGCCTGGTTCAAGGTTCTCTGTATTGGACCAGCGTCTCAGGCTCGGTCCATTTCTGGTCATAGTATGTCCTATCGGATCGAGCGCTTAATGCGTATCGGATCCCATCCGTTCCGGTACGGATTCCAGAGAAGAGAGGCATAACCAGGAACTAGAATGTATTGTAGTATACAGTATATGTATCAAGAAAGTGCTGTAAATTCGGTTAAAAGACGGCTTTCGTGCTTTTGGACGGGAGATAATTTCTCCCCGGAGCCATTTTTGGATTCTTCATGGAAAAGTGTGACTAATGTGGCGCTATACACAAAAGTACTACCTGGCTCACACAAGCTTGGTACACTTCTGTGACGCTGGAACCATTCCTTATAAAGGTAAACCTGTTCTTGTGGCCTGCAAGAAATCCTGTTACAGATAGTGTTGATTCCAGGTCTATTTTTCATCTCTGTACTTGACGTGTCAACTACGGTACATATCATGTAAATTTTAGTCTTAATTTCCCAAAAGGGCCAAATCATCCTCTTAGGTGCTCCAATGTTTGATACTGTACTGCGCTGGTGTTCTCAGAAGTCCTACGTACAATCTGCGAGCTATAACCGGCTCACCACTTTGCCTTGAGGTGCTCGCAGACTTCTCGTCTAGGTCAAAGATTGGCCTTTCGGAATCTAGGCTTCTGATGGATCCCCGTCTCGAGTTTCATTTCCAGATCTTCGTGTTCATGAGTAGAGGCTCAAAGACTGGAGTAATTCCTTGCAATGACATCCACTTCCAAATCGGTCTTATGACCGCCCTAAGCTTCAAACGCCGCCGTGGAAGGTGATATTGTCAAGATCAATAAATTCACGGAACAGCCACCTGATAAAATCTTGGTTAGATCGAGAGATTCACAATCACCAACTGGTATAATGGCCATGGCAAGTCCCACTCGTGATAACGGCGCTCCCACGCACATGCTCCTATCACAATCTTCTACATCACCATTCAAGAGTTTACCAATCACTTCCACCAACTCCAGACATACACAAATAGTATGCAGCGAGAGAATGAACAAATTCAACGCGAGAATCAAGAATTACTCAAGCACATCGAAGAATTGCGTGCGTCTCAAAAATGCCAAGAGCAAATGCTGGAGCGCCAAAACGTTCTTATCTGCGCAATGGAAACCCAGCAAGCAAAGGCCGAATGTTTTTTGTCTGAGCAGAATAACTATAACTCAGCGGCTCATTCTCAGCATCCAGTATGTTCCGGATCTAGTCCAATATATACCCCAACGCAGAGAGCTCCGCCTGAAAGTTACCCGTATGATGAGTTGATGGCTTTGGTGGAGACGTATAGAGATGAGTCTAGGATAAGCAACACCCTGAAGAGAAAGGCGGAAGATGTGACGAGCGGCGACGTTAAGCGACAAGCTTTATATGAAATTCAGCCAACGCAAGAATGAGTTTGTACTAGTAGGGTTGGCTAGGGTAAAAATAACGGTTAGATTCATTTGGTATATACTATCAGCAAGACTTTAGACTTACAGTGTTAATCGGCTGGATTTATATTTCTCTCGTGGCATGAAGTAGTGAAAAATGGTCTAGTATGAGATTTACATGAGCTGCTGCCATAGTTAGTATAGAGGAGTCGAGTCACAGAGTTTCGAGCCTAAATTGCATCACTAGGGACTATGTCAATCAATATTTTCTCCGACATGAACATAACAGACCTTCTAAACAGCAGCCTCATACTGTACGGCGACTGTTCTGATCTGTTGAATTGCATATTGTGTTGCCTTATTCTTTGCGTAAAGGCACGGCCATTAAGCTCTAAGACCTGTCGATTGGAACTATTACCTTGTTTTCAATTTCTTTTGGTATGAACAGGCTGGATAATGCCGCACTTTGCTCTTCATTCCTTTTTCTCATTCGTTCCGTTTTCTGTAGTAAAAGCTGCGTGTACCTGCCTTGTGACTGAGACCAATGATAAAACCCGATGCAGCTTCTGAACTTGTATCACCAAACACTTTGTGTGCGCACTAGCTCTCAAGAATAACCATTGTATCTCTGATCCTGTCGTTCTGGCTGTGATAACTTGTCCTTCATCGCACGCAATTCGTCCTGCCGAGCCGACAACTTCTGGTAATATTGGTGGATGGCGAAATCACCGGCGCCCCAAATAGGACGGAGTTCAACAAATCCCAAATCGACCAGGACGGTGTTTTGTGGGGGCAGTTTGGGTTTTTGTTTTTCATAGCGCGGGACCCTAGCAGTCGATGATGAAAGCCAGTATTGACCAGGGTTGCATGCATGATTGTTAACATTACGCCCATTTCTATCTTCCATTGTCTCGTGTTGTCGTTCGGCGGGTAGATTGGATGACTGAATATGAGTATTCATGGTGATGATGCTGATAGTAGAGGTTATTTGGAAAAGATTTCTAGGTGAATCAAGGGAATATCTCGGCGACAAGCAAGATTTGAGCGTCATGAAGCTCGAGAAGTGAGGTTAGCGAGAAGGCCAGGCGAGTGTGTGAGAGACGAGCTGGGAGTGGTAGTTCTAAGCTCCGAGTTAAACTGAATGGCCTAAATACGATTGGAGGTTAAATAGAATTATGTATGAGGCTGGATTACTATATTGATCATTCACTTGTGATAATTATGGTAACAGGCCGAAGAGCACGAAAGACGAGCATGTTGGACGACACAGGTGAGCATGTTACCATGATTTGAGTTATAGGCAGAATCAAACCTCTTTTGTTTCTCTCTCTTTTTAAGTACGGACAATCCAATTCTGGATCTGACTTGAAGGTAGGTTTATGGACCCAAGTAGTGCCGCGATGGACTATAACATCCCCTTTCCGTTCATCAAACAATAACATTGCCCATGATTGAATGTTGGTGGTGTTGGTACATTGCGTAATATAGTGGATCATCACTTCCTTTATTATAGTTCGCCGGTATCTGGATTGGGTGTAGAAGACTCGTTTTGAACGGCCCGATTTCCGTTGCGCCACTGTTTATGAAGATGTTCGGCCTAGACTGTTGTGGCTAAGATGATTGCGGCTGCTTTTGCGATCCGATACGACTTGGGGAGAATCACTCGATCGTCCAGCTTGACATCATTCTTGAGCATGACCACCTTTTGGCCAAAGATCTCCCTGGTTGTGTCTCTTGTTTCCCAGCTTGTCCAGTGTTCTTGTTCGTCGCGCTCGGTAACCTTGATTAACGTGGCTGGAGGCAAAGGCGCGCCATTCTTATAAGTTGGCCAATCTTCCGGAGCTAGAAGCTCGACAGGGCAATCGTGATAGTCTGGGTAGAGCTAATCCACGGCCTCTAATCTTGGATTTTTGGGGCTTTACCGCCTTGCTTTTGCTAATTCTGTGTTTACTGAACTCCTGGTTACCATCCTGGGCAACGAAATCTGGAACTTCCTTCCCTGGTTTGATACAATATGAAGGTGAGCTTTGTGGTCCATACTGTAACATCACTTTTCGTCCGTAACCATGTTTCACCCAGCCAATCGGCGTTTCGTCGTCTACCTCTGAAGTGAGACCTACGTGTTCTAGTAAGCTGGTAAGGATAGCAACGTCAGGGTCTTGTTTCGAGTCTTCTTTGGTCTTGCTTTCGGCGCTTTCGACGCTTTCGACTGCTATATCCGAGTTTACACCTGGAGACCGTCTTGAGCCTTTTGTTCCTTCCATTTTGGTAGTATCTTCCTCCTCAACGCCTTTCAGCTTACCTGTTTCTGTGACATGATTATGACCGCTCTTAGTAAGCTCGCGCTCCTCGTCGTTGTTATCTTCCTCATTATCTTGTTTATCAACCTCTATATTATCCAACTTGTTTATCTCCTCTGCAAGGCTCTGGAGTACACTTTGATGTTTATTACTGGATTTATCCTCTGATGGGGACGTTCTTCTCTGTATCTCTTCCTGTTTTGCCGCTTGACGAAGGCTGGTCCTTCTCTTTTCTGTAGTAGGGGCATCTTTGGGAGGGATTTCTTTCTTCGCCGCCATTCTTATCTGCCTCGAAACTGAAGGATAGGAAAGAGGCAGACATGGGCTATATGTCCGATAGCCATGTCGACGCTCGCTAAGCCTTCCGTGGCCAAACATAGATACGATGTCGTCGCTGTGGCTTAGCCTCAGTAATTACAATATATACTGTCTAAAGTCGGGATTTGCCAGTATTTGATTGGACTACGTGAAGAGCTGAGAAAATAAAGGGAACAGAATCATCCAGTTTGTGCACGCACAAATCATAACATCTCTGATGAACTCGCGATCCATTCTTTGCTTGAGCTGTGCTGTTGGTTCACCTTGCAGTCACAACTACCGCCTATACCATAGCAATTGTCAGCGATATGCTTTGCTTTAGCACCAAGACTAATGGGACATCGGCGACGTGAGAGAAGCCGTAGTAATTGTCGGACCAACTCGAACATAGCTTCTACGAGGCCAGAACGAAATCTATCCGAATCGAAGGCGTCTGGCTATATAAGAGGCGCCTTCTTCCCGCTATCTTACTGAGATTCTTGCGCAATTTCAGCAAATCCCATCAAGCCAATCCCTCATTTCCTCACTGCTCATTTATTTGTGCCCACTCTTATAAGAGAAGAGGGAATCTCGCAGCAGTCTCGGCCATAAAGCTCTACTCCGTGGCCATCACTCTTGACACCGCCAAAAGCCATATCCTGTGTGGCCATCGGCTGAGGCCGAGGAAAACGCTACCGAGAGCTCTTGTACGGACGAACAGGTAGTCCAACTTCTGTTGGCACTCGAATGTTCTGATCCAGCTGCTAGAGGGTGTGAGTCTACGCCGGCCTTGTCGGCTCAGACAGAGAGCACACGGCGACGGATTGAACACTTAGACTCTGCATTTGGCCATGGTCAGTCGTTTTTGGGAGCAGCAGGTCCGACTGAATGCGCAACCAAGAAGCCTTATCTGAGCTCGCCCATCTGTCTACAGCCACTATCAGATGCAACTGTCACTTTTTCTGCCAAGCCTGTAAACAGATGTACATCAGAGCGAGTGCTATAATGTCAAAAGGCCACATGCCAACTGGCGGACGTAGTAGGGTCTAGATACAGCTTGGGTGTTCACTTGAGGGCAATGGGTTCAGACCTTAGCGGTATCACGGAATTGGTTAATTTGTCTCACTGAGTATCTTGGGAACTCGGGCTTGGGTCCACCAGCATTTTCTTGAGAAAACCACGAGTTACGGCTGTCGTAATAGGGGTAATCCATTGATATGGGCAGTAATGGCATTTTATAGAGTCGAGGTACCGAGGGACTTTGAGTCTTACGGTGTATTTAATAATAAATAAAATATTGTGACGATTATACTATCGGGTTGCACAACCACAAATAATATAATGCAAGGGGGTTTATGCTAACAAGATATGCTAGCCACGAAGAGAAGACTATAGAGATAGACCTTCAGGGATATACTAAGCAAAGAGATTCATAAGTGTAGTCGTCAAAGCGTGAGCTTTACCTACGGGTAAGATAGATGCTTAGATTGATCACTGAAGTAATGACTGTCTATGTAGAGTAGGAAACCTGATCCTTATTATATCCATTCATTCCTTCACTGATGTTTCTGGATCTATGGATCTGCTCCAGATCTATAGATCCCTCCTGGATCATTGGATCTGCTCCAGATCTATAGATCCCTCTTGGATCATTGGATCTGCTCCAGATCCCCAGATCCTGTCACGTGACAATGAGGTCCTGAGACCCACCTGTTCTGTTCCTTTGCCCAATGAGGACAGTGTGGCAGTGATTGGCCTCCCTAGGCGTTCGTCTCCACATAAGGCCGGGTTCCTGGCCTTCGTTCGTAACAAATATATATTATAAGAAGTTAAATAATAAAAATTAAATTTGTTTAAATAGAGATAATTTATATTAATTAATTAAAATTATATTAAAGTTATAAATCTTTATTTACATACATAATCGTATTATAAAATAAGCAAATAGATGCTTAAATTAATTGCTAAAGTAAGAAATTGTAACGACCTGGCCAAGGTGCCAGCCTAGCGCTCGAGCAGCGTACGAAGTACGCCCGTGCGTAGTCAGTGTAAACCCCCCGCTTCGTAACTAACGATGGAGACATTCCATTCTCCCCTCCTTAAGAATAAGTCTCTGAATATAACCGCTACGCCCTCTCACTCATCGAATGGTAGAGCAAAGGGGTAAGGCAAACGAACGAGGAATCAGAGTCAGTATAACCTTCCTGATGCTATGTGCGTATCTGAGGGATTCTAGGTAATTTACCAAAATTTTTCGACAGCAGCAGCGATTGTGGAACCCCGAAGAGCGACGTCGAGAGTGCGTTTGAGAATAGCGGTTTAAAACGGTCCAAATCAGGGCCTTGGGGCAGCACTCCAGATATGCGTGCACGTGCATGATAGAAAAGTGTAGACTGACACATGCTATGAAAGTTTCTACAGTTGATATAGAACACTGTTGTAGTGAAGGTCTGGTATGATGCACTGAAAGGAAGACCCTGAGTCTACTTGAGCATGGGATAGTGAATCCTGTGCTCGCATGAGCGTGGGATCGCAAGTGTAACGCTCTAAGCGTGAAATGATAGTATAGGTACTGTCAAGCAGTATATAGAAGTCTAAGTCTACAAAAGGGAATATCGGTGTACAGAAAGTGGGCATATACCCACTGGTTAAGTCGCGTGATCATCACTCCCCTCGTTCGGTGATCGGCGAGCCCGTCGCCTTAGTCTACGGAGTGCTTCCCGTATACTGTGGCCATCTATAGTCATCCATATTGCCACACATGCAGATTCCTCTTTTTGTTGTAGTGACAATGACGAAGAAGTTGCACAACCTACTACGCGTCTCAAAGTCTGTCCTCGGATTCCTGTAGTGGACTTGTTTGAACAGCAAAATGGCTGGTCCTCGGCTGAGCATCACGACACCTCTAACTCAGTCCACGATATTGATCCCAAGACTGATGCTAAGGATCCCTATAGTGACGATGATGATGAGCTTTCCCACTCTCCGTCATGGTACCGCTTCAGACCCAGCACTGCCACGATCGAAGGCACTAGTATTATCCTGGAGGCAAGACACCGCTACGTCGCGCTAGTTGAGGACGGTTTCCGTGATCGAGAATTCCACAGGATTCTTGGTAAGGAATATATTGATGGCGAGGTACATTACTTGGTTGATTCGGTTCCAACCTTGGTGCGAGTTCGTGTACTGCATAAGGCCAAGGCGCAGCCTCTCATCAGCCAATTTGAAGTAAGTGCGAAGCCTAGAAGGAAAAGAAGAAGCGCGTCGGGGATCACCGATTGAATGAATCTCGAGTTACAGATGGGACGGAAAGAAAACGTCCAGGCCGGACACGGAATATCCTATATAGCCGCTTGGCACATACCTGAAGCAATTTGAGAAGCATCAAAAGGTCCCTAACCTCCATTCCTACGTAGCGGAAAACCCTGCGTACAGGAAAAAATGATAGGTACTTTGACATGGAGTAATTTGAACACACATCGGTAAAACCCAAGATTCTATGCAAATCGTATCCAGTGGCTACTCTCGAAGCTCTTGAAGCCCTCCCATCAAAAAAATTACGCTCGTGTCGTCGCCCTTAGGCCTGATCTGCGGGCAGCGTCCTTTCATGGCGCAAGAGTTTTTTTCTACTAAAGCTCTGCTTTCAAACTCTTGTCACTTCTAATACTCACAAAATAGTCTCGTCCGACCTGTAAACATCTGTTAGCTTATTGATAAACCGTCCTCATCTATATGGCTGCTATAGATAGTATATTTATACAAGGCTGCCACACGGAACAGTACCCCGCACTCTATCCACATTTCATGACGGATCTGAAAACAAACTGCTGCCTAAGATTCAAGGCTAGAGCTCGAACTCCAAAGATCGAAGGTAAATTCAGGATTTTAGGTTTCTGTTTCTATCATCCACTCTCTATTTCTTTCAGCTTCCTTTTCCAGCGACAGGAATAAATCATGCTCAATCGAAAGTGGCTTCGAATACCCTATGCCTATAGCTTCCAGAATTTCAGCCTGAGCTGACCGAAGCGACTGCTCGAAGCAAACAGATTCCCAACGTATACTGCAAGGTCACCACACCAATACCTGCCGTGCTCCACGTCAATACAGAGATGCGCGATATAGCTCTGAAAACGTACAATCTCTTTACTCGGGTCTTCTTCGAGAACCCATTTCACCTCCACTCGACTCATGATACTCTTTTCATCCTCAGCGTTGGCCTTGCCCATGTCATACAAAAAACGGTCAGCCTCGATGAAGTGGCTATTGTTCGGAATTGATACATTTGCTATAAAGATGTATGTGAAATCTGATGTCGACTTCCGGAACAAAGTCGTCGATAGTCAAGGATTAGAGAAAGAAATTGGGCGAGGCTTGTTGTTTCTTGGGACAATATCTTAGAGGATGTTGATCGCGGTATTCACGACTTATATCTGTCGCCTGGACTACTGGGTCGTTCGAACGGATGCTGAAGCGGGTGATTGTCAGTGGACTTGATGATGACGACGTTGACGCGGAATGGACCATATAGATTGTGACAATTACACTACACAAACGCGATTAATAAAACTTATAAGACTTATAGTTCCCACTTGAAATATGTCTCTACATTTATCGAGTCCTTTAACCCCAACAGCCTCACGCCTTGCCAGCCCACTCTACGATCCTCTTCCACAGCGCCATCCCATCGTGCCGGCTATCAATTTTCATCTCCAACGCCTTCTTCTCCGCCGCATTACGGCCCATATACTCTGGCACATCTTTCAACAGGAGCCTCGTCAATTCTGCGGACATCTCCGGATGACCCTGGAAAGTTAGAATGGTATTGGCTGCGTTGATGAAACACTGATTTTCTTCCGCCAGCGCGATGAAATTCTTGCCGGGGGTCTTGACCTCCCGCTCGTGGAATTCTTGGATTTTGTAAACCTCTGTTGATGGGAGGTAAGAAGTGAAGAAGGAGGAGCCGTCGCTAGTCAGTTTGATAGGCATCACGCCGACCTAAAATAATGTGTTAGCAAATACAGACCCCGGCTTTCATATTCAAGAAACTACAAACCTCAAACTTATTATTGTCCATAGGACCGACCACGCCCCCGAAAGCGATGTTGATTGTTTGATGGCCCCAACAGATCCCAACAATCTTCTGCGTTGGGTACTCATCCACCGTCTTTCTTAGAAAATCTTGCATCTTCAGTACCCAAGGAATATCCTTTGCCATTGCGTCTGCGGTGCCGCCAGTCAAAACAATTAGGTCATAATGAGTTGGCTCGGGGTATATCTGGGCTTCTATTGGATCGAAGAAATCCACCAACGCGCCAGGGCAGGCGCTGCTAATGCATTTTTGAAATGCAGCCTTGAAGAGGTCGTCGACCGCTGATATGGCGTTGACCAACACTGCTGCTTTGAATTGAGCCGAGTCTGTCATTGCGATAAGAGTAAAGGTGTTTGAAACATAATATTAAAAGGTTGAGGACTCCTTAACGCTACCTTATATTCGTGGATATAGGCCTCTTATGGCTGGAGCCTAGAGGAGCAAATCCCTGGCTAAAACCGGAGACGCGTACCACTTACGAACGAAGGCCAGGAACCAGGCCTGTAGTGGGGAGGAGAAACTTAACGCAACCAATCACCACTACAATGATATCATTACGCAGAAGGCAGTACAGGATCCTCGGTCACGTAATTTAGGAGCAATATAAGCACAGCGCTTTATACGACTCTAGGAGCGATAAAGGCGCCGCGCTTTGAGCGCTCTAAGGGCGATAAGAACATCGCGTTCTTATCGCTTTAAAGTATATTAATAAAAGAATAAATGGATATAATAAAGATTGGATTTCTGTAATAATTACGATAAAGTCACTAGGTGATAAGCTCCTAGGCCCGAGGTATTACTCCGTTCAAACTCATCCCTCGACACCAAACTGTCAGTCTGATTACCAGCCGAGTCTGTATTCTGGTTGGTCGCACGGCTATCGTTATATTCAACTACAAGGCAGGTTTCCTGTTCTACGGGATGGCGTCGACCAAGGAGAGTCAGCGAATGAAGCCTTTGCAGCTCAGTAAGTTCCTTCACCTCTTACATAGGCGTAATGGGATCAGTAATCGGCATCTCTAACATAACTCGTGACACGCAGTAAGCATGCAACGCGTGGCCCTGAGAGACGTCACCATCTCCGATGGCACCTTCATCCCCAAGGTTACCGCGTCGTACGTCTCCAGTCACCGTCTGTGGGACCCCAAGGTGTACGCGAACCCGGAGCAGTGGGACGCTCACAGGTTCCCAAACCTGTGACAACTGCCCGGCAAGGAACACGTGTCGTAGCTCGTGTCCATTAGCGAGAGCCACCTGGGATTCGGACACAGAAAGCACGAATGCTCCGGTCGCTTCTTCGCAGCGAACGAGCTGAAGATCGCACTCGTGCATTTACTGCACGACTACGAATGAAAGTTGCTTGGGAAGCAGGCTACTTTGGTCCATGACTTCGGCATGAATCCCCTGCTAGATCCGGCTATCAAGATGGAGATACGAGCACGATAGAAAGATACTACACAAGCGTGCCAACGTTCGAACTAATGAGTTTTTCAGTATGACTCTCAATTCCGGCGATGTCATGTCGAGACCATGGTCGTAAATTTTCGGCTTGGCGATACTATACTTAGTTGCTACTCGAAGGCGGAGCTTACGCATTAAACCAGACCACTGTCTTGTCCTTTGGTTATAGGCCTGACGATGAGCTCGCAGGCTCGTTCGTGGACTGATTAATCAGTAAAGAGTGGAAAGGATGAGTTTAATACCCAAAATAGTATTGATCAGCGATAACGAGCCATTCTCGTTGTCTTCCGAATGCACTACTGTAAAAACCAACGACTAACTGTACAAAAGTGTGAAAAGCACGCTAAAGAAAACTATTTACAAGTTCTATTTATTAGTATGACAGTTTCTACAATTAATATAGAGGGCTGTTGTAGTGAAGGTCTGGTGTGATGCACTGAAAGGAAGAGCCTAAATATACTAGAGCATAGGATAGCGAATACGGTGCTTGCCTGAGCATGGGATCGTAGGTGTAACGCTCTAGGCGTGAAATGATAGTATAGGTACTGTCAAGCAGTATATAGAAGTCTAAGAGTACAAAAGAGAATATCGGTGTACAGAATGTGGGCATATACCCACTGGCCTAGTCACGTGATCACCACTTCCCAAGTTCGGTGATCCGCGAGCTCGTAGCCTTAGTGTACGGAGTGCTCTCCGTACACTGTGGACGTCTATAGTCATCCATATTGCCACAATTAGACCTCATCATAATCAGGCCGAGAACAACTCCGAAAAAGGCCGTATGACCCACTTAGCCTTCCTGCTGTAATGGTACAGCCAACACTCACTACTTCAGTGTATACGAATTTAGTATCCCCTTCCCTTTTCCAAACCAATTAGCGTATTACCCTATAACGACCTGGCCAAAGCGCTAGCCTAGCTGTGAGAATATGGGTGCGGTTAGCACTAAGCTGTAAGAGTTGACAACACTGGTGTGAGACAACAAGCCTATAACGTCACGAACTGTAAAGTTAATATGGGCTTGTAATATGTCTTGTCTTCAAAGCTATTCTAGGTACAGGACAGAGAGATCTGTCTATATACCTGTCATGTCCCACAGCCCCGCTGTGGGTACTGTAACACTAGCGCTCGAGCAGTGCACGAGGAACGCCCGTGCGTAGTCGGCGTAAAACCCCCGCTTCGTAACTAGCGATAGCTAAAAGAAAGGCTTTATTTAAACCTTTATTTTATTATTTTATTTTATTTAATATTAATTCCTTTTATTTAAATATGTTAATAAACGTAAGTTTATTTATAAATAATTATAGAAAAAAGTAATATAATTATCTAATAAGCTTTTAATTTAAAAGTTATTACTATAATAATTACGGTAAAGTCACCAGGTGATAAGCTCCTTCGGGCAGTAGTTATATTAAGACTTATTCTTAAGGAGGGGAGGATAAAATGTCTCCATCGCTAGTCACGAAGCGGGGTTTTTACACTAACTACGCACGGGCGTACTCCGTACGCTGCTTAAGCGCCAGGCTGGCACTTAGGCTAGGTCGTTACAATTACTTATTCTTAAATTTATAACTTTAATAATTAAAAATAAATTTTAATTTTAATAAGATTTAAATTTATTATAAATTGTAACAAGTATGTTAACACGGCATCTTGTTAAATGAGAAATTGGCGTTTAAACGCATATCTTATTATTAGTATACGGTTAAAACTCATAGAGTTATCCGTTATACAGTTAGTAGGAACTCTAATGTTCCCCACACTCTTTTCCCCACTTAGGCGAAACTACCCTGTAATAGTTTCGCCACTAAAGTTCTCTCACGTTCTATTTACTTTTACGGTTATTATAAATCCACCACGATTTATAATCCAAGTAATGAACCAGGACCACTGTCTTGTCCCTTGGGTTATAAGCCTCACGACGAACTCGCTGGTTCACTCGCGGACTGATCACTTATGAATGAATGGAAAGAATGAACTTGATGACCAAAATAACGTTAATTAGTGACGACGAGCCATTCTCGTCGTCTTCCGAATGCACTGCTACATGAACTGACCATGCTACCGAAGTCAAAAGTGTGAAGAAGCATGCCCGTTCGACTATTTACAAGTTCCATCCCTTCGACCTTATACTGATCAGACCCTGGACAACCAGGACGAAGGTCGTACGACCCACTTGGCTCCCTTGTAGTATTGGTACAGCCAACACTCACTACTTCAGTAATTATTAATCTAATGGATTAATAAGATTATTCTAGATTATTCTAAGGTATTTACCTTAGTATATATAAAGAGATATCCTCGATATCTCTAAACGCTTTCCTTAAGCAAGCTTATAAATACATTTACTTATACTCTCTTTACTCTACCTCCGAGTATTACTTCGAATCAAGTGCTTCCGCCTAATCAACGTTATATGATATACACATAACCTTGAACATAAATTAAAGCTATTTAATCTTATAAAAGCTATAAAGCTTTATTTATTTCACTTATAAATAAAGTTAATATAATACGCCGCTTTTCCGAGATAATAATTTTTATAAATTAAGGCATTTATTAGTTTAAGCTACGTATTACTAGGGTCCATGTTCTTATAAACCTGGTCGTCCTTAATTATACAACGGCGTAAGTTTTAAATAATGCCCCAATGCGTTTCATACCTTAAACTCTGTCTTTTCGGTGTTAGTAAAAAATTAACAAGTGAAGTTATAAGGATAACTTAGAACCCGTGAAATACGTACATTCTCTGGAGGATATAGAGGTTGAGGTTTTCCTGCGAATTTAGGACGATGGACTCAAGCGATGCGCGCATATAGTCCTTCCACTCTTTTTGGAGACCAGGGCCGGTAGGATTACGCTAATCAGAAACGTTACCTTAGGGAAAGTTGACTAGCGAGGGGTGGGTGATACTCACTGCGTCAAACTCGCCCATCTTGTCATAGATGCCCTCGTATGTGGCACAGAATTTAGGCCATATCTCATCATTCTTCAAGTATTCAAACATCATTCCTGCAATTGTGTATCAGTCCCTTTGCCCGTGGGGTAGATAGTAATACTTAGAGAACACGTACTGAACCAGGACCACTGTCTTGTCCCTTGGGTTATGAGCCTCACGACGAACTCGCTGGTTCACTCGCGGACTGATCACTAAGAAATGAATGGAAAGAATGAACTTGATGACCAAAATAACATTAATTAGTGACGACGAGCCTTCTCGTCGTCTTCCGAATGCACTGCTGCAAAAACTAACCACGCGACCGTAGTCAAAAGTATGAAGAAGCATGGCCCTTGGACTATTTAGAAGTTCCATCCCTTCGACCTTATACTGATCAGACCCTGGACAACCACGACGAAGGTCGTACGACCCACTTGGCTCCCTTGTAGTATTAGTACAGCCAACACTCACTACTTCAGTACCCATCTCTTTAATGGCGAGAATCTGGGCCTCTGCAGTCATGTCTTTATATGACTCAATTGATGTTGGAAGGTAGCCGCCGAAGATCTACCATTTCACGATTAGTATTTGAAAAGAAAAAGATTCTCGGTTATTCGACCTACTGATCCTTTCGCTCTGTTGGGACGAGACTTGTAGATAGTCAAGCGATCCAGATGTCTCTTACTACCCAACTCTTGCATGAGGTAGCGTATGAATACTAATTTATTGCCGTTGTAGTAGACATCATTAAGAACTGTTCTCTTTATACTCTGACAGCTGTACTTCTGTCTTGGGTTGGCTGGCTCAGGGTTTTGATTGTTGAGGTGACCCGTATCCAACCACAAGGTGAAGAAGTCAGAAATCAGCTGCGCCTCAAAGACGTGCTCGGCTAGATGCTTAGATTGATCACTAAAGTAATGACTCTCTATATAGAGTAGGAAATCCTTCCTTATTATATCCATTCATTCCTTCACTGATAACCCTTGCACCTTCCCTTCTATTTACTGTCCGAGCGCAAGCAACTGTTAGCAACTCGGCGCATAGCACACCAACTCCATAACAGTGGGCCCATAGTGGGACCCGAAAATATCAACACCAAGACGAAAATCTCGCGATGGACGTCGACATCACCACCCCAATAAGGCCGCCGGCCGAGGAACAGGCCCATCACACCCGCGAAACAGGGCCAAACACGCCATCAAATGAAAACATCAAACAGCGGAAGAAGCCCAAGACCCTGAGCTTCAGGGCCCCCGAGAAACTACCTAGGAAGGCCGCTAGATTGGAAGAGACGGTCCAGTCAATGATGACAGGCCAACTGGCTCAAGTGGAGAGAGACCTCAGAGTCAAGAAAGAAGTGATCACGAAGCTGGCAGGAACACTCGACGGCTTCGTTGAATCCTTTCAGGGAGATCACCTTAGCACCCAGCGCAGGACGGCAAGAGAGCTCGTCAACGTCCTAGCGAGGCATCTCAACACGGCAGTATTTGCAGAGACCGATGGGCACCTATACGCTCCTATCAGGGTCGAGAGCAGCCCAGAGCAGACACAAGAGTCCGAGGAATCAGGTTTGGGAAGCCACAACCGACCAAAGGAAACCCCCGCAAATCAGACGTGGGCCACGGTGGCAAAAGGCCCGAAAAAGGGAGGACGAGCGAGGGTAACGCCTCCGACCACTAACACGAAGAGCCAACACTCGACTGCTAAGACCACGGAGACCAGGACATCAGCGCCTGCGCCACAAGAGGACCTAAGAATCCTGATCAGGATGCCTGCCACACCGACTGCGCGAGCTATACAG